TTAAAAAAAACCCAATTCCCCCCCCCCCCCCCCGCCATTCAAAATCTCACATACACATGCAATTTTTGGTCATTCCCCCATCAACAATTTGACTTGATTACATTTAGCATGCCTCACTTTATTTCTTCAAACTAACTTCTCCAAATTATTTTCCAAATGTTCAAATTATTTATTTGACATTTTGGATCGTAAAACTTCAATTTTAACATTTTTGAACCCCAAAAAATTTTAATGCAACCAATAATACATCATATTTTCTCAAACAATCAGACTTGGCTCACTCACCCGTTTGAAATCTTGCATATTGGTAGCTGAAAGAGGTGTCCCAAAAAGACGAAGTGCCTCGATTGTCGTATTTTCAGCACCACCCTGATTGTCCTCAATAAACAGCTGCACATTCTTCACACTTTGGAATTTCACATATCGCAGATTGTACAGTTCACCTTCTGTGACCTGAACAAATTCATTTCATCCAAACAAAAAAAACAAAAATTGTGGAAGTACTTATTATACAAAAAAACAAAGAAAATAAAAAAAATGCCTTTTCGGTGAATGAGATCGTTTGTACGCCATCAGCGCCAGCTGCTCGATCAAAATCGAGAATATTCGCCAGATTTGTAAAAATTTTGACTGTTTTTGGGGCCGCTGAACCTTTGCCTTTCAAATAAATGGAATGTATTTTCACAGGTTGGTTGAACGGAATTGATATGATGAGCTGCGGATCGCAATCCGACCTCAGCTCACTTTCGCCGCTCAGTAAGCTCCTAGAACAGGAAAACCATCAGAAACTGTGTCACACAGAAACATCAGAGCAAAACTGTTTCGCTCAGCAATGAAGTCGGATAAAAACCGATGGATTTTTCCCGTTTGAAAGGCTCCTATCATGTTCAGGATGTCTCATATGTATATCGGATGATTATGTAATATTATACAATGAACTATTTATTCGTTACAGTTATGTGGAATATCTTGAAGGAGAGCTATAAATTATAGGCCGATTCTCCACTTCTGCAGCTGTCAACTTTTTCCAATCCCCTGACTATCAATGCATTATTTCGTTATCAACCTGACAGTGATATCGATGTTTGCTTCATGTCACATGGGAATTACCAGTTCGTTGATTTTTCCCCCCTCCTTCTCCCCCC